CTGCTACTGTTGTTGTTGTTAGCATGTAGTTGGTTGTTTTTCGAGCTATTCGAATGAAATGCCGTCGAAAAGTTTTGAGCCAAGTTTCGTATGAAATTTGTAACAGCCTCAAAACAAACTATAAAACTAGAAGTTTGAGTTTCTTTGAAACTGTTTTTAGTTTTTAGCTGTTGCTGCTGCTGTTGTTGGCTTTTTTATGTTGTTAGCTGAAAGGAATGTGTTTGAAGCCAGTTAATTGGATTAACACTAAAGATGCGTGTGTGTGTGTGTGTGCGAGGGTGTGTGTGTGTGTTTGGGAAACGAAATTCGATTTATGGACGAAATGATTTAATTGCCAAAATGCCATAGAACTGCAGCTGACAATGGGTTTGTTGGGCCCATTTCAGTGTTCATTTGAACATTTGGCCTAAAAGAGCGTTTCTCGAAATTACGTGATTGGAGTCAACTTTTGTAACTTTCGAGTTAATCAATTGTCCAAAATGGTCAAAAATTGTACTTTTAACAACGAATATTCGGGTTCGAATCCCTAGGGTTGGTGTATGTCTAGGCTAAAGGGCTTAATAGTAGCCAGAGCTAGTCAATAAATAATAATTTCAATAAATGAAAATCTGTACAGATTTGAACCAAGGCAAAGGTTCGAACTGGGAACCAACCAATATTGTTTTAAGGAACTTATCAAGTGAATGATTTAATCAAAAGAATTGTGTCTCTACATTAAATAGACAAAAATTAAGATGTGCTGCAAATGATGTTTGCCCCATGATATTTGGCTTGATATTTGGGCCGCGGTCTGAAATTACAGGTATTTTGCGTGGAACTTACCCTGTTGTCAGCTTTCACGTTGTTTTTTTGCCGTAATTAATTAAAGTGGCCAAGGCGAAATTAGTGGAAACGGACGACCCCATGCTTTTGACTCAAGTGAATCAAAGTTCAACCAGCTTGTCTGGTAATTTGATCAGCTACTTTGCCAATGTGGTGGATGTTGCTGTCGTTGTTGTTGCCGCTGGTTGCTTTTGTTTTGAGGACATAACACATTTTTCCACATTGTCGAGCATTGTCGCAGGGATAATAAGTTAGGTAGCCGAACGGTAAGGTCAGGTAAGGTTTGGGGCTTCAGACAATTGGCTTTGGTATTGGCTTTGCCTTTGGCATTGGCTTTGGTCTTTTGCATATGGGAATCGGAATCCCAGCAAATGTAAACGTGGCTCAAGTTGCCTGCCACACACATACACACACACACGCGCACACATATTTGTGTGTGTGTGTGCAGCGAAATAAAATTAGCTCAATGAGCATTTGTGCAATCAAGTGATTTTAAACAACAAAAATTGGGGGGGCTGTAATCGAAGTTGAGCAGCAGCAACCCTTGAAGCCGAAAGGGTTGTTCCCGGGTTGTGGCAAATAAATTTCACACACATTTGCGCACTCACATCCACAACATGTGTGTACGCGTGTGTGTGTGTGTGCAGTCAATAACTTTTGCTACAAGGTCGTCATCGTCTTCGTTGATTGTACTGAAAGGAATAAAACGAGTGCCCCCAGCCCCTATTTTGATGGGTACTGTGAGCATATGAAAGTGCCGTGTTATGTATGCTTAATTTTGTCGAGCGCCCATTTAGAGGGACAGTGCGGGGGTTGAGGTTATCTGCATGTAAACAGGCGCAGGACATTGCCGACATTGTCCTTGCACGTGACTCATGCGGTAGCTTTGTGTTCACGGTCCTTGTTTGAACAAAAGGGTTGCCCGCTTACTTTTCTGCCGTGGGTCTTCACACACACACACACACTCACACACTCGGCCACACACACACACACAGAGGAGCATATTGGTTTCTTGTAGTTGTGGGACTTCAGAATTTGGTTGCCCGGACGATTATTGCAGCACAGATCATTGGACAACAATTGTAAATTGATTAGAGCGACAAACTTGGCCATTTGATTCGGTATCAAGTTCCAGACTGGACAAACGAACTGTTCTTTTCGCTTCCCTCATGAGTCATGCCTTGCTGAACTAGTTCCATAACTGAGCGGTCGATATTTTGGATTCTTTATCCATGCAAACAGTTGGTAACGTTTGATACTTTAAATATTGTATATACTAGTTCATTTTGAATTCAACTAGTTCGCTTGTGTGCTATTTAGCATAGCTTCAACTCTTTTAGACTAAAATTCAGTTTAACAACAAATTTTACTTGAAAGCTAGATTAAAAATAAGTCAACTAGTTCTCTCAACGAGATCAAGTATGTCGGGTATTTTTGTCCAAATCTGGAACTAGTTCTCTTGTAAAATAAACTTGGATATTCTTTTAGACTTGACATTCTTATGAACCAGTTCAATAAACAATTGTATAAGAGCTTTGCTTCCTCTTGTGTTCCTTAACGGCTTTAAACGGACCTCAAATTTGTGTTCATTTTTTAACTTTCGCCTAGCGCACACACACAAACACACGCACACACACAGGCCTACATGCTGAGATTTTCCATGCCCTATGCATAACTTCATAATCATGTTTATGATCATTATTATGTTTATTATCATCGCGGGTTACTTTCATTGCGTCGTTGCCTTTGCTTTCTTTAGACAGTTTTGTCAATTCGCTGTGAACTCGCATCATTTGCAAGCAACGCGACCTGAAGCTGAATTGTTAAGGACCCAGGGCTGGGTAAAAAGGGGAAAAGACAAAATGTGGCAACAACGTTAGTCGCATTTGCTACAACACGATTTCCTTTAACTGCCATGGTTTTTCTTCTCTCGCACAGCTTCTTTGTTGAGCACAGCCGAAAAGGTAACCCACACCACAGACTACACACGCACACACACGCACACACACGCACACACAGAAGCACACAGCACACACATACATTTATATTCTTATTTATTTCTATTTTTATGTGTCACACAAGCCAAAGGAGCCACGCATTTTATTTTGCTGCGCATTTTCACTCCTTTTTTTGCTGCCACCCAACTCTGGCTCCGGCTCCAACATCTAGTTCACCTTCAACTTTTTCAGCTCGTCCTTTCAGCTCCTTTGGCATTTTGAACGCGGCACGACATTCTCCCAATTGTGTTATAAATTCAAAAATGAATAACGCACGTTTGCCTGTGGTTTAAAATTCTATTTTATTTTATTGCCATTGCCTGTGCCTTGCGCCTCCTGCCCCGCCCATAAGTGGCAGTCGGGCAGGCGGCCAGGCGGGCGGGCGGGCAGTCGGGCAGGTGGATCTAGTTCATGCTGACGTTTTTTTTGCTTGGCATTTGGCTTGGTTTCTTTTATGAAATGCTTTCACTTTTTCGACAGTCAGCTGTATTTTATTCTATCTTTTTGGCTAAAATTACACACTTTTAGTCTCTTGTTTTCTTTCGTTTTCCAACACTCGCTCAATTAAAACATTTTTGCTCTGACATTGTGCAACTCGGTTTTGCCCACATCCAAAAAAAAAAAAATCACACAAAACTGAAACTGTGACTCGAACTCACGAGACCTCGACTCGGACTTTGTGGCAGCCCCCCTCCCCTTCTTCTTTAAGCGTCGCACTGCCAGCTGCCACATACATACATATATGAAAAGGCAGAGCAGAGTTGACTTTTTTTTTTGTGTGGCAAGCTCTTTTTTTTTTAAAGCCGCTTAAAGAGTTTCTACTGCCTGCCCTGTGTAGATCGGAACGTGCATTCAGCGGTCTGCTCTGACATTTTTTATGAGCTTTACTCGGCTTCTTATTTGGTGAATTTATTTTTGCCCCGAAAAAATTTATTAGCCCAACGCAGCTCAATGTCTCACTGGCTTATTATTTATACATTTTTCTCTCTCGCCTCGTTTTTTAAGTGGCCCGCAAAGATAGTGTGCAGTCGGTAAATGTGTCACTGGTGACATGACAGCAAACAGTTGGCGAACTAGTTCCAAACGCTGTTCCAAAATGTTGGCAATTATTTACTGTTGAGAGGGAGTACTGAGAAACTGTTCCCCTGTGTAATTAAAATCTGCAGGACTACATTTGTTTTTTTTTTTTTTTTTTTTTTTATGCGAAAGCTGTTTTATGAAAGTGAAAAGTAGAAGGTCCTGTAAGGACATTAAGTGAGCCAATATCGTGAACTTGTTCCAAGGAACTACTGTCTTTTTAATTTACATCATATGCTCCTAAATATTTGTTTAGCTTAATGTATTGCTAACTCATTTGTGTACGACTGAGAGTTTAATGAAATTAGCTGGCTCACTGGGATCTCTCTTCTCTCTCTCTCTTTCTATCCATATATACATATATAGTTATATATATGTATATATATATATATATATATATATATAGTTATATATATATAGATTCATAGATTGACTATCTCGGTGCAATCACTGCTTTGTTCTAATTTGGGACTATGCCAATGAGAGAGAATGGCATAATTATGCGTAACTTATGGTTATGGCTATCCATGCCATTTAAATGCACATCAATTGTGTTGAAAGTGCACTTCGATTGCGATTGCGTTTGGGTTTGCAATGGCCAGATGTCAGGCACAACGATAACAATAACACAAATATCAATCACGAAGTCCAGTTGGGGATTGAATTAGGCATTCAGATATTGAAAACTAATTGAGATGAACTTTGACAAGCATTCAATTAGGTATGGATTTCGCCAGTTGGTTCCAGGCAAGCCAAAATTTTACTTTAAAATATCAAATCAAAAATACGTATGTGCGCCCGTGTGTATGTGGTTGTATCTGTGATTGTGTGTGTGTGTGTGTGTGTGGCATTGGCAGGCACTGTATAGTTAGTATGTCATATTTATATAACTCAATTTCTTACGCTTGATGAAACATTTGCATTCCACATGCAAATTTTACTTTGATGAGTTTTTCCTTTTTTCTGCTGCCTGCTGCCTGCTGCTCATTATTCCCTTTCATAGTGTATGCCAAAAGTGTACGCATGCTAATTAAATTGTTTTCCCAATGTACTCACTCTCCCTTTCTTTTTCTTTTTCTCTCCCTCTCTCAACTATGATTACAGCATTTCCATATTTATAAAGAGCCAAGCCGGGCGCACTGTGAACTGCAAATTTGGAAACTCAGCTTTTCTCCACTTGCTGGTAAGTTATGCAATATGCTTTAAAAAAGAACTGTCCATATATGGGCGATTATCTTAAGGCTGTGTGGGTGTCTGTGCTAGTGTGTGTGTGTGTGTGTGCACTTTGTTTATTTTACCGTTTTATCAAAGAACATCTCAACAACAACAACAACAACAACAACAACATCAAAAACTTATTGGAATTTAAAGATGTCAGCATTGACATGCGTTGAAAGCGTTGTCAGTTTCGATATACCCGCTGCCCCTCATCACAGCCAGCAGCAATAACAACAACAGCAACAACATTTAGCTAAGGAGCCCTCTGTTTTTGTATCAGTTTTATTGTGTTTTATGTCGCAGCAAAGTCAACCAAAAATCGGCTTAAAAATTCAAGAGCAACAATCCAAAAGATGCGTATCATGTGGCTTTTATGCGGCTGCCGCTAGCGTAAGGCATGCCCCGCATTCCCCACTAAATGCCGCCGCTCTCCAACACTAGCTCCCTCTCCCTTCTCTCACTCTCTCTATCTCTCTCTTTCGGTCTCTTTCTTTTAGCTCAAGATTTTCGTTTTCTATTTGATAAAGTGTCGCTGGACAAAAGTTGAGAAGCTGCAAGCGTTTTTCTACGTAACGTTTGCCCATGCTCCCTTTCTTGCTGCCACTTTCTACCTTTCTCTCTCCCGCTCTCACTTAAGATACGCATCTCAGCAGCTTGTTGTGCGAGTATGTGTGTGTGGCATTTTATTGTCATTGTGGCTTTTTGGGGCTCGGTGACTTTTTATTATAATATTATTTTTTTTTTGGTCTCTCTTTTGTTAGGCGCAAGTTAATCAGTCAGCGACGGCGGCCGCATCGGCTAAAGATACAGATACATTTACAGATACAGATGCAGATACAAATGTATTCGTAATTGCGTGCAGGCTGTGCAGCTGCCTCGACGACGTCGTTTTGTTTATGATTTGTCAAGATTTTAATCCCCGAAAATGTGTTTTAAATTGCAGCGCCTACGATAAGAATTGGGGCAGGGGCTGGAGCAGGGGCTGTGGTGGCGGCGGGAGACGCGGGGTCTCGATAGAGGATGGAGTCAACGCAAAACGCATCACAAACAGAAAGAAAAAAGAAACTGAAAATAAAACCTGAAATGTTGGCCAAGTAAAAGAGTTGCTTGTTTAGAGTAGTGTGCGGACGGGGGAGTGGAGGGAAGGGGTGGGGCAACGGGGCAGACATATGGCGTCCATAATTCGAAAGAAAGACGAACTGGCTGCGTGGGGAGTGCTAATAAATTTACCTTTTACCACAAAATATTGCCAACATTTGCAAAAGACAAACAGCTAAGCCCGGCACACACACACATGCACACACATGCACACACACACATACAGTCTTGTGTGTGGCTGTAATGTGTGGGCGGCGTGGCAGCATAAATCTATCTCCTGTAGTTGCAACCACTCTCCCGTTCCTGCAGCCCTTTCTGCTCGCTCGCTGACTTCTGATTGAGCAAAAGCTCCGACAACGTCGTCTGCCCATCCGTGCGTTGCCCCCTTCCCCCTAACACGCCTGCCCCCCGTCTGTCTGTCCGTCTGGGTGTTGATTTTTGTCAACCTAATACAAAGCGCAAACAAAATTTGTGTTGGCATTTGGTTAGATTTGCCATTGCTTTGGTTTTTCCTCTCTTTTCCTTTTTTTTTTCTTTTTGCTTGTTCAAGGGAAAGCTGTAGGAGGGACACGAGCAAAAAACTGTGTGCTTATGTTTGCGCGCGTGTGTGTGTGTGTGTGTGTGTGTGTGTGTGTGTGTGTGTGTGTGTGTGTGTGTGTGTGTGTGTGTGTGTGTGTGTGTGTGTGTGTGTGTGTGTGTGTGTGTGTGTGTGTGTGTGTGTGTGTGTGTGTGTGTGTGTGTGTGTGTGTGTGTGTGTGTGTGGGTGTGTGGGTGCGGAGTATTAGACTTGATACCAGCTAAACAAGAAGAATAATATGAGAAACACCAAAGTGTTGCAAAAGGATTGTTTTCTTCAGTAAGAGCAGCATATTAGGCTAGTGCTTGTTCGGACTGTGAGTAAACGAAAAAGAGACGACAAACGCTTATGTAAAGCATATTATAGATATAATATATCTGCAGCAATATGTTACATTGTACTCGTTCCCGACTAGAAGATACCCCGAAGCACACAATCGCGCACTTTCAAAGATTTGAAACAAATCTGATCTTAACGTGCCATAGAAGTACCTATTTTATGCTCTTTACTCACTTTTAATGGGTTTAGGCTATAATTGATTATTATTATTAGCTGATATTGATGAAACTTGCCGCGGTGAAACTTGTGTCTACAGTTCCTTTGGTAATTTTGAGCTATTTAATTTTGGATATCCTATAAACCCTGTATCCCGCTGACTCTAGCGCTTTAAGCCTACATAAATATGTTATATCTATGGGTTGTGATAGGGGACTATGAGCTCTTCTGATGACAAAAATATTTTCTATATTGCAAACATCATGTATATTCAATATTATTACTATTCTTATAACATTATTATTTATTCAATTTTTGTTACAATAAAAATTTTATAAAGTGCAGTACATTCTGTTAAATGTGTAGCTAAAGTTAAAAAAAAACTATCAAAGTTTGCTTCGAACAGCCTTCGGCTTAGATAGCCCAACATCTGAATACCGTATACAGCGTACGATATTTGCATTTAAAGTTTTATTTATATTCTCCGACTGTTAGTATGGGAGCATTCATTTATTCAACTGAACCATTCACTCATTCAATGTTGTCGGTAGAACAAACTTGTGTGCTCGAAAATGTAACAAAATGAAATATAAAACATTACGCGAATTTCGCTTTCATCAATTAATTGTTTCGCTATTGCTGTTGTTGTTGTTGTTGTTGCTGTTTTTGTTGTTGTAGTTGCTGATTCTACCAATTTGTGGCCCACATTCCATGTATCAGCTACAAGCAGCTGTTTCGCGTTGCCAAAACTTCCACTCGAGCGAGCCACTTGCAGCTAGAGTGGCCCCAACAAGTGCATCAACAGTTACCGCTTCACGCGATGTATGTTAATTAAAGTCATTATGTGGAGGATGCCCGCTGGGAGCTGTATGCAGCAGGCAGCAGGCAGCTGCTAGGTGGCATGCCACTAATGAAATGCCTCTGCCTGTGGTACCGTTGCGATCCTTGTTATGGCTGGCATTACGGCTGCAGCTTCAATTGGTCGGCCAAATTGGCCAATTTTCATATGCATGATGCGATAGGGCTCAAGGCAAATGGGAAAGCTGTCATGAATGAATGAATGAATGAGCAGCGTGTTTGAATGGGCGACTGCATGAATGAGTGCGTGAATGAATGAGAACCAGCGTCGCTTCGCGTTGACAACAATGCAATTTTCGGGCTATAGAAGCTTGAAGGGGATTTTGGGGTATGGTGGGGTATGGTGCGGTATGGTGTGGGTGCTGCGTGTGCCACGTGCCAGCAGAAAGCATTGTCCGACCTAACGAAACATGCCACATGCCACATGCCGCATGCCGCACAGCAACTGTGCAGCAGCGCACGGAAGCATGCGTTTGGGCTTTTGATTTTTCAACGCGTTCGCCTTCTAATGATGTACAACATGCACAAAATGTGTTAATGAGCCGCACGCTCGCTGACAAGGAGCATGGAAAAAGAAAGAGAGCGAGCGAGAGAGAGAAAGAGAGAGAGATAGACCGAGAGAGGGGAGGAGGGAGGGATAGAGCGCAAGAATGAGGTGGCAGTAACTGTGATTAGCTAATGAGTTCTCCCTTTGGCAAACCTGTTGCTCTTGTTACCACTTCTGTTCGTCGTTGGGTTAAGCTTTCCACAGATCTCGACACATAGCAATTGCATCGGCTATTTGCAGCAATTTGCTTAGCTGCAGCAGTCGCTGCCGCCGTCATGTATCCATAGGAGACAAGATACTAGCTACGAGTAGATACACACATGCACTCATGCTGCGGCCATTTACTGCTGCAGCTGCTGCTGCTGCTGAAATACAAACAGAAAATGAAGAAAAATAAAACAACTTCAAATCAAAGACATAGCCTTGGCTAAATTGCTTTGCCCAGACGCCCACACACACCCAACCCAACCAAACGGCGGCTGGCAGTGGGTGGGCTGGGGGCTTGGTGAACTGATGTCTAGTGTCTGGCAATCAGGCCAAGTCTGAATAAAAAATGAGCACCAGAACGAGTCCATGCACGTCCAGCTGAGCCCGGTCAAGTAAGTCGCTAGATAATCGATTCAAATTAATCGATAATTGGAATATCAAAATTACAATATAGGTAATGCCAATTAAATCAATGCAGCTGTAGTATTTTCAATCGAAGCTTTTCTATATTTAGTTCGATCAACATCTGACAGAGATATCATAGAGAGTATATATATTTAAAATATATCTAGACGTTTGTGCTCTCTTCCAATATATATATATATACCCGTTTTTAGACATTTTTATTGGGTACGAGGTTTACAAATATGATAAGGACTAAAAGTGAGTTTAGGAAATGAAAATATTATTAAATAGAAAGCATTAATATTTACACATCTAGAAGAATTATAATGAATTTAGGTATAAGAATTACTAGAGAGAATACAAGAATTAATTCCAATTTGCAGAATAAATTAACATTCACTGCGTTGTTAAATTAATAAAAGCGTATTAAATAAATATCGTCTTATTATGCGATTCTCATGCAAATGATGAAAAAATGCATATTTCAAATACCGCCCTACTATTCAATTCTCATGAATTATGCATTTTTCAACATCGCACTACTATGCGATTCTACGGAATGAAAAAATAGTATTTTTCAATATCGCCCTACTATGCGATTCTCATAAATTCAAGTAGGACTTACAAGGCGCCAAGCAAAAATCAATAAAGTTTGTTATGTGTGTGTGTGTGTGTGTGTTTATGTATGTACGTGTGTATAATTTGTGCACTCAATTCTCTTCCGCAATATGCGCAATATGAAAGTGTATACGTTTTTCATTTATTTTAATTGCGCTTAGTTTTGAAGACTTTTCAGCTGCCAATGGACAATCATATTATATTCAGCAAAAGTTGAATAAATATTCCCTTTAAATAAATACTGTTATTGGCTATGCGAGCTGGCAGTTCGAAATTTGTGTTGCAAGGCGCCAAGCAAAAATCAATTATCCATGCCACATACACGCCCATATATGTACTATGCATATTTATATATATACATATATAAATATATATATATATACATATATATATTAGGGCAATATTTTTAGTATTTTAATTGAAAAAAATCATTTAACTGTGTAGTTGCAGCTATTTCCAGCGCGTTAGTCTGAATTCTTGTTGTTGCTCTTGCTGTTTTTTTAATCTTCAACATGGCCAAACTCAATCAGCCAAATCAAAATGTTGCCTGCAAATAAACGCCAATTGTTGTTGCAGTTGCTGCCGCTGTTGTTGTGGCAGGCGCCCATAGACGACCACAAACAACTCGTTAAAATTTGCATGTGAAATGCAATCGCCTAAAACTGGAAAACAGGCAAAACAAGAAACAAAAAAAAAAAAAACAAAAAAATGATGTAAAAAATCCAAAATATTGCTGAAAAAAGTCGAATAGACGTAGCAAATACGCGCGCACGCAGTCGGCCACAAAACGTTGCGAGTGTTACAACATCGCATGGAATGGGGATGAACAGTGGGCGCGGCTGCTTGGGTGGTGGCCTCAGTGAGCCAAAGGGCTGGCCAGCTGCTGCTGCTGTTGCTGTATGGCCAGTGCACTAATAAAAACAACTAAACAACATTTTTGGCCATGCCACACGGCTATCAATTTGATATATCAATCAGCGTGGGAGGAAAATGATTGCCAGTTGCTTGTTGTTGTTTGTAGTTCGTTATTGCTGAGCATTCAAATCGAAATGCCCAAAAAAGGACACCAAAGATGTCTATCCACAGCATGCCACCAATTAAATACACTATTTCATAGCCAGAAGTGCCGAAGCCCAATTCCTGCGTCCGATTGCTCCCAAGGAATGATACGGTTTTGCAGATAGGTTTGGGGAAAGTATGATTCAAGCAATTCCAGAGTTTTGTTTAAGTGAGAGAGATCCTTTACATGTGGGCTGTATGATATGCTCTTCTGATCCGGCAGGTTTCCAGAGAAGAGAGACAAGCTTGAATCAAAACTGATCTTATGTCAATTAAAAGAACATACTCACTTTATGTTAGTCGTAACAATCTCCATCTAGGTGTTGCACGTTTCATGCCTAAGTTGTGATACCCTCGGCTAGGGTATTCAAAGAAAAACAAATAATAATGAACAAAAACAAAAAGGGACTAACAATAACAAGAAATCTGTGGCGAGTGCAACATTCAGTTGAGCTGCAAGAACTCAATAAAAAGAGAAGCAAATTGCAGCGAATTTCAATTGCCTGTGCGGCATTTGCAACTTGTCCTTGGGGCAAGTTCTGTGCGGCTGCCTCAAGGATTAGCTGCTCTGGCTGGGCGGTGGCTGGACGGATCGCTGGCTGCGCTGCCAGTGGCTCATAAAGGGGATCTGCGCCCAGTGCTCTGATTGATTTATGGCCACGCTCAAAAAGTGGGCGGCCATCGGGTAAAGGGATTAACAGCGGGTGGGTGCAGACCGATGCGAAGATAGAACGGATCTCAGTTTCGGCTCTGCTATCAGTCACACACGCACGAAAAGAATGAAAAGAAGAGTGCGCGCCATCTGGTCAGTGGAGAAACGACTAGCGGTTACCCTGTAAAAAACTCAGCGAAAAATCATGTGGAAAGAATACAACTGGGGGAGTAAATATTTTATAAATTAAACGATCTAAATTCATGACTTGCAAAAGTAAATTAGTTTAAATTAGTCAACAAGTTCGATAGTCAATAGTTTTCAGCGTCAATGCTATCGATAGTTTGAAATACTTCGACTTTCCCATTATTTAAAGCAGCTACACTTCAATTAAAATATATTTAATGTAAATAATATATCAAATAGAGGGAAAATTCGTTTTCTTTAATTATCTATACATACCATCACTGGCAAATTAGTTTAAATTTAAATTTAAATATATCTTATCTTCTAAGTGTATGTTATTAGACTTCACTTATATTATTATTATACTTTTTTTTGGTAAAGTTGGAAACTGCTGAGCCTTTCATGTATAACCTTCATGGCAAGCTACAAATACACCTTAGCTGCTGGCATTCACAGGGTATAGAAAGACTTTGCCTTCGCTCGTCGCCTGTTAATAGCTTTAATGCTGTTTTATGGCATTCGTCGAGTGGCCAGCTATGGAACTGGGAGCTGGGAACCGGGTACTGCTAGCTGAGAACTGGGAACTGGGAAATGGCATGCCAACGCCAAATGTTTTACATGCGTGTTGTTGTTTCTATTGTTGTTTTTGTTGTTGTTGTTGTTGTTGCGGCGGCAACAATGTTTTGTTTGGCGGTCGCATAAATAAATTGGGATTGGACTATTCGCTGGCTCAGTGTCGGCTGCCTCAGTGCCGAAGCAAAGCTCATAATTCCAGCTTTTATTTGTGGGATTTTGGCATGGCATGTCAGTCATGTGTCGCTCTGTTTCTGGTTCTGGTTCTGTTTTGGGCTCCGGCTGTCCGCCCCATCCGCCCGCCCGCATGCGCATTCGTAACGCTTTCAATTCCAACGCTGATTAATGGCTTTGTTTGCTCTCTCTCACTCTTTACTCCCTTTTCCCTTTCCCCTTTCAGATGATGCGCTTTGGCAGCGCTTGAGAATCGTCAACGTCATTAAGGAAGCTGATTGCGATTGCGATTGTGATAGCGATAACGATAACGATAAAGATACCACCGCAATACTAGCCACAGCCGACAGCAGCAAGATGTATCCAGGCAGCGCCAGCAGCACCACCACCGCCGCCGCCGCCGCAGCCGCGTCCAAGTTTCAGAATCGCTGCGCCTCGCCACAATTTGCCAGCTTTGCTCCACCACCGCCGGCAGATTATCCGCCGCCAACATTGCAACAGCAGCAGCAGCTGCAGCAGCAGCCACATCAGCAACAGTTGCAGGCACAGACCACTGCGGTGGCGGTGCACAGCGTACCCGGACATGGCTCCATGCGGCACATTCAGCGCAATCAGCTTACTATGAGTGGACACGGACATGGCCATGGCATGGGGCACGGCCATGGACACGGACACGGCCACGGACACGGCCATAGCCTCGGCATGGGAATGGGCGGCATTGGACATGGCGCCGCCACGATGGGCCATCATCACGGACATCGCGGCGATCTAATCTTTCCGGACGACATGGACAGCATTGAGTTCTGCATGCCGGCACCGCCATCGTCCTCCTCGTCGTCCTCACAGCAAAACGGGGAACTGATGCTGCTCCAAGGCGGCCACGGCGAGCCCTTTACGGAGCGACGACGACGCGGCCACAGTCGCCGCAGCAACCACAAAATGGATGTGGAGCAGCAGGTAAGAGAAGCGAGCATTAAACTGAAATTTTAGCTGAAAGTCAACCGAATTAGATACAATTAATTAACTGAATTGGACTCGAATTGTTTTCGAATGAAATTAGAGCTGATTTATAATATAAACCATCCCACTAAAATGTTGGACTTTGCTTTAAATTCAATCTAAATCAATCTTCTTAGATTGAGTTAATATCATGTTCTTCTACTTGAATCTGCAGGTAAAATGGTCACGCAAGAACATCGCTGCTACCATGGAGCGCTTTGAGCCCACCGCCAATACTCAATCTTCGTCGAGCACTTCGTCGCTGGACTATGGCTTCGCCGCGGGCGTTATGACGCCCAGCAGCAGCAGTGCCACGCCCTCGCACGGGGCTGGTTCAGCAGCTGGGCTGTCCTCGACGCCCTCGCTGCATGTGGCCTACAATGGAGCCGGTGCAGGTGCTGGTGCTGGTGCTGGTGCCGTTGCTGGTGTGGGCATGGCCGCGAGTGGAGCAGCTGCAGCTGCTGCCGCTGCACCATTCAATCATGTCTACTCCTACGCATACTACGAGCCCGGCGCGGCCAAGTGTCATACGAATGTGCCCGCTCAGGGTCAGGGCAACGGCCAGCATGGACCGTCGAAGAGTCCGCCGCGTAACTCGATACGCGCGCTGCTGGCCAAGAGCTTCCGCTCAAAGTCGTCGTCGCACAGCGGCCAGTCGACATCGTCCTCGCCAAGCGCCGAGGAGCGGGACAGGCACACGTATACCACACGCTATGGCACCACCGAAAATCTGTACGAGGAGGTGAGCGACCAGAAGATACGCAAGGTGCTATCCGACAACCGCATCGCCACGTCCAGTGCAGGCAACGTCAAGGAGGAGCTGCGTCGCGTCCAGCACAATCATTTCCGTGTGCTCGACGAGCTCAATCTGTCCCTGGAGGCGCTCATAATGCCGCCCACGCCACCGGACATCAGTCCCAGCCATGGCGGACCGGCCAGTGCCAGTTCCAATGATGTGCAGCACGACTCGCTGCCCGCCCCCAGCAACAGCTGCAGCAGTGGCAGCGGCAGCGGCAGTGCCAGCGGCAGCGGCAGCGGCAGTGCCAATGCCAGCGGTGCCGCCGGCAACATATCCTCCGCCCAAGCCAAGAACGTGCTGACTACAAGCCAGCGACCGCGTCGCGGTGGCTTGCTCGGAGGTGCCGCCGCCAGTGCTGCGTCAAACTCGAGCTCAGCCTCGCATGCCAGCCTCGAGAATCTGTCGAGCACCTTGAACAGCATGGAGCTGAAGGATCATGCCCACAGCAGCTGCATCAATCCGGAGTTCGATGAGGGTGACCTGGACAGCGGCTTCAGCGGCAGCGGCAGCAGCAGCGGTGCCAGCTACAATGAGAGCTTGCGCTATTATAAGACGGCAACGCCTACTAGCCATAGTCATAGCCACAGTCACAGCCACAGCCACAGCCATGGGCACTCCGCACACAATCCCAATCTGATGGCCCACAACAACAACAATAACAGCAACAGCAACAACAACAATAACCATATACACACCAGCACGTTGCCGCACAATCTGCGCAGCTGTCGCTCCTCGACAGCCTCCGGCACATCGACATCCAAGAGCAGCATGGCCAGCTGTGGCGAGGATCAGGGCATCGCCGGCATGGGCATGCCAATGGGCATGGGCATGGGCATGGGCATGGCCGTGGGCATGAACTCTGGCATGAGCGTGGGCATGAACACCACAACCATGGGCATGGGTGGCATGGGCGGTATGGGCATATCGGAGACGGCTGGCGGCAGCTCAATGTCGCCCTTCAATTATCCACGCCGCTGCTCGGCGGATCAGCAGCGTGCCTCCGGGCGTTCGATTGCCTCGGCAACTGGTTCCGCAACGGGCCCCTCCATCACAATGGCCACCGGCGCGAAACCCAAAAAGAACTTCTGGACCATGAAACCGTGATGCTACAAAAAGGCCCTGCGTCACATATGCAAGAAATGGAGCATTGTTATGGTGAGTACTGAGACAATTAATAATAGATTTAAGTCCGAAAAGAGGCTGAAAACTGGAACTTCGCTTTTTTTTTTTAATATTAGCCAGACCATTAAGAAAAGACGAGTCATAAAGCGAAACGAAGAATATTATATAAAAAAGTCATTATATGCAGAATGTTGGTTCAAACCGTCAACTGAACCAGATTTCAAAAGACACAGTTCTAGGAAATATTTTGTATGAGCTTCCTGTGCTATTCGACAGGTCTGCCTAAGATATTTACGAACTATTTAAAATGCAATTTGACATTTAAAGTGGGCCTCAGGCTCTATACCTGAGGAAACTCTAGACATTTGCTTACGCTACGCTTATCAAATTGATTGTATTTAGTTTTCATCGACTTTGAATGGAATTTGGGTGGAGTAATTAAAATGTAATATTCATGTATACAAACATCACATATATATACAAATTTTTTTAAAATACTAATAAATAGCTAAATATCTGCAGCCTTTTAACGTACATCTGCTGTCAGTCTGTTAGCTAAAGCTGATTGCTTGGCATTTACTTAGTAGCAGTGCTGCCATCTATTTTCACTTAGAGCGTTATTTTATATCTTGCTTAAATGTTATCGTTATCGTAATCGTAATCGTAATCGTAATCGTAATCGTAATCGTTATTATTATTATTTTTGTGTGCCACATCTCGTTTTTTTCACGCGCCCTCAACCACTACTCCGCATCTTGTTGTCTCTAACTGTTGCAGCATCAATTTCAACTTTTCAACTTTAATCATAATAAATATGCGGCCTGGCCCAGACTCGGGCTCAGGCCCAGGCCTGGGCTTCAGTTCAAATCAACGAGGCACTTCCGCTGCCGCTGCCGCTGCTGCTGCCGCAGTCAGCGTCGCTTTAGCCACTCTCGCATATTCCCAAGATAATAAATTTATTAACAGGCAACGCGGCAGCTACAGAAGCATCATCATTATCTGCAGCGGGCAGCGGGCAGCGTCCTCCGCACAACCCCGAAATGAATCAATTAAATCTGATTGAACTTCATAGATTTGTTTCATATTGTGTGTGTGTGTGTGTGTGCTTTTTTTTTAATTTCACTTGCAACTGAATCTGGGGTAATGCCGGATTCGGATTCGGACTCGGATCCGGACCGCATCATCTGCCGCTGCTGCTGTGGGCTATGTGGGAACTTGTTTGCACAGCCAGAAGACACACACACACACACAGACACACGCGGGCATAAACATGCCCCCATTTTCTTGGTCTGCCGCAGGGATTATGAGTGTCATGTGTGTGCTAGTGTGTGTGTGTGTGTATGTGCCCGGCCATTAAGGCGCCTGTTGAAATCGAAATCCCAATATCAGCATTTAAAGTCTTACGGCCTAAGATGCAATCCTCTGTGCTCCATACTCAATATGCTATTTTGCCGGCTATCGATTTTCCTCTCGCCCAATTCTGGCTCGGAATTCCCAATTCAGCGAGCGCACCCCTTGTGAATAATGTGAATAATGCTGTTATTCATTGCATTTTGTTATAAATCTGTCAATTTGCACAATTGTGCGTGTGCTTTGTGCATTCGACAGGGTCGCTGCAGAAGCGAAGCGGACGTTTGCCATAGCCGGGACCCTGACGGGGACGGAGACGGGGGCGGATTTGTGGCATGAGGGTGAACCAGACACTCGACACTTGCGTGAGCAGCAGAAACGAACGAAGAGCAGTAACCATCTGAGAGACTCACAGACTCGCAAGAGGCTGAAATATTTTTCGGGCTGCATCCGCATTAGCATCCGCATCCGCAGGGCGCACGTTTTTGGGTACCATAAAAAATCTGTTGCAAAATGCGACTTTGTTGTTGCTGTTGTTGTTGTTGTTGTTGTTGTGCGTGTGTTGATTTATAGTCGCAATTGGGCTGAGGCGCAACTAATTTGCCACGAGTGCTAAGTAGCATGCGAAACAGGGAGACGACAGCCAAAAGCATGTGAGTGCAGCACCACATGTGTGTGCGTGAGTGTGTGTGTGTGTGTGAGTGAGTGAGTGCGTGGGAGGATGGGTGGGTGCTTGTGATGTGTAAGAAACTCTATTGGTAATAGTTAAGCGCGATAAAGATACATTTTTATAACGCAACGCGTAATACGCATCGAGTCATACTCAAAAAATACTCATTTGTGTATTTGTGTGAAAGAGAGGCCTCTGAAATGGCATAAGTTGTATTGAGAGTCAATTCAATTCACTTTGGATTAATTTTAAATACAAATATCGCGTAATACTTATCGGGTAATACTCATAAAGTACTCATCCGAATGAGTGTGTGTTGGAAGTGAGTGTGGCTTGGAAGTATGTGTAAGCTTGTGAAATGGCTTAAATTGCATTGGGATTTCGATTTTTTTTTTTTTATTTCAGCTTACTCTAGTGATATTTCCATTAACATATTTCGATAAGTACATCGATTCTCGTAAAGTACTCATTTCATTAACACTCAAGCTCACATGTGTGCGTTAAATAATGTAGACTTTATTGCAATAGAGTTCGGTATAGCTTACATAAATTAAAATGCATATTGCTTGTAACACCTATCGAGACTTACTCATAAAATACTTATTTGGCAACACTTTAGTGTGCTATCATCAATTGTTATGTGCATTCACTTGCATTCGTGTGCTGTTAAATGAATATTCAATAACAAACACAACTACGCTCTCATCTATTATTCAATTGGTTTGAGTCCATGCGCGCAGAATGATCTTTCATATTCAATTGCATTCATTTTGCAACGAAATGTGAATGATTCTCATTCACATGCCACATGCCACTGGCCGCAGGAGCACGGGCACAGGATGCGCACATGTGTGTACTTCACCCTCCCTCACTCGCGACCTTTTTTTATGTCTAATTCAGCTAAACTTGATCTGAAAACGATTTGTGTACATTTTGACAGCAGTTGTCGAATGTTTCACTCAATCTCAATCTTTCTCTCTATCTCTCTCTGTCTCTGGCTGGCTTTCTTTTTTTAACTTTTCCGCCGTACGGCAACCCTGACGACCCACAAGCCGCGCGGCTCACTTGAAAATCGCTTAAATGTTGCCAAATCGCTCGTAACCAGCAACAACAACGAAACAGGCTAATAAAGCAAAACAGCAATTGGGCGAGAAGGAAGTAAGAAAGAGAGAAAGCGAAGAGGAGCAGCCAAAAAAGGCAACTCAAATGAAATCAGAGCCACATCAAATGCCAAACGTCTGTTCGCAAATATGAAAATGGATTTCAAATGGATTTGAATGTACTTGGAGCAGCTCTCCTCTAGCCGCAGACCCAGACCCAGACCCAGACCCGGAATGAGTCGGAGCCGGACAATGACGGACATATGCGGCATTTAAGGGGCCACATATGCAGCAAATCGGACGTAAACATTCACTTAGCCATAATAAAAGAAATGAGAAAGAAAATGAACGGCAAAGCATTTCGATTGCAGCGGGAATAAAATGGCAACAACAACAAAAGCACTTGTTTAAATTTGTCAGTTTGTAGTTTTCAAATACCCTTTTTCAGGGGGGGGTACTCTTATTTTCGCACCCAATCTGACATATTTTTGGCTTCTCTTAATGTGGATCAAACAGAAACCTGAATTAGATATCATTAGATGAATAGAGAACTGTCGAAACAAAGCCTGAACTGAATCATATTCAAAGAAGAACATATTTAATTTTATAAAAACCTTTTTCAAATAGTTGAATATGGAAACTTTTAAATAAGAAAATTTAAATAAAAAATGTAGATACATCGAATTGTCCTAGGCGGGGTTCGAGCTTTGCTTCTTAAAATTTCATTAAATTGTAGGGCCTCAGTTCATGCTAAAGCTAAGTCAAAGCAATCAAATTGAAGCATATATTAAATGAGGGTATAAAATATTCGCGAACCTAAAGTTAGACGTTTGCTTAGGTCCGTTTTTCTATTGCTGTTTTGTTTGCCAAATTCGACGCACAAGTTGCCAGTTTCGATAAGCAGCTCGAGGCATGAAGCGACTGTTCGATATATTCGAAGCTGTAGCTGGGCTGGAGCTGAAGCTGGCGACTCTAGAGTCTTGTCTGGCTGGCGAGATTTAGCCATGCTGATTAAAATTGAATGATGGCCAGAAGGACAGCGACAGCGACAGCGAGTGACATAGAAATTGCTATGGCAGAAGCGAGCGCAGATCCACAAAAACTGGTCCCGGCCAAGGGCGGGGGGACGAGGGCGACTGGAGGCATGCGATTGGTATTGGGCTTGGTTTAGTTTGGTTTGGGCAATGGCCGTCATGCCCTTCAACAATTACACACAATCACACACACACACACACACGAGCCCAAAATAAGGAAAAAAGAAACCTTAACCCACTGATGGCGCCCGAAACGAAGCCGGAGACATAACATAATAAATTTGCAGGGAAGGCAGCGCTTCGCTATCGGCACAGTGGTTCAAGAAACAGCAAACAATTGGTAGCATGTGTGAGATTTTAATATATAATTTTTGTATGCTCACAATTAGTCGCAGATGCGGTTATATTGTTTATAGTTATATTTAAGTATAGTATATATAAATATTCGTGGTTGCATTGCTGCATGGCCCGGCACCAGTGTGCACTGGCAGGGCGCCAAGAACCAAGACGGAATGGGAACTCGCTGGAGCAAGGACACGTTGGTGGGCCGTGAAGAAAGGGGGCTGGGGTAAAAGCGGACAATGGCAAGCGCAGAGCAATAACACGAGGGTGGCTCAACGGTGGCTCAGCGCTCGGTGGTTGTTGCTGCTGCTGTTGGCGTGACATTGTCAGCCTTGGACTGAAACTGTGCCTGTTCTGGGGGTTGTCTGCAAATCACCCACCATTTGCTGAAGTTGCCGTCGTCGTTGTTGTTGTTGTTGTGGTTTTCGAAACTGCGTCGTCTGCGGGCGCAAGAAAAACTGTAGTAAATAATTCTTTAAAGATTTAGAGACACTTGGAGAACAGATGCGTTGCCAGCAATTGCAAATTTTTATGAGA